GAGAGAGGGGGAGAGGGAGAAAGAGAGAGCATATCATTTGCTCAAGAAGAGCCAGACCTTGTGGCAGGTAAACATTAAACAACTAATGCTGTACCTTGACGTAAAAACACAAAACACGGAGTTTACTCTTCACCAGAATAATAATAACATGTAATTCATATTATTATATTCTCCGAATTCTAATTTAAAATGACTCGCTCATGGAAAAGTTAGCTTTTCGGTAGTATACAAGTCATATCTGGACTCATTTTAAACGTTGAAATATACTACACAAAGATAGAAAAAACATTCAAGAGAGGAATTCAAAACGCAGAGTGAAAGTGAGGTGCAAACGGAATCTAGAATGACGAAAGTAAAAACGACTGACGATTGGAATTGAAAGCCTTGTTTTGCCAATTCACATTTCTCAGTCTCCAGGGCGCATTTATTTCCAAAAGTCTTAGTGAAGGTTGCGCAGACAGACTCTTACATTCTAGAACACCTCTTTCTCGGAAGGGCGTCAAATGAAGCATCAAACCCCATGGCTCCTCCCACACAGACAGCAGCACAGCTGGTGAGATCAAGGGTCGTTTGTCCTGTCGGCAAGCAGAAGTCAAAACTTGACACCTCTCACGTGCTATCCTCTCATTTAATTGCATGCGTCAGTCTTACTTATCCAGAGCTACCACTGCTTGCATTTCATAGGACCACTGTTTGACCTATTAAAACAGAAACGTTTGAACATCTCCTTTGCTTCCACCTTTAGCTCCAGCCTATACGTTCTCTGAGCGTTCAGGCCCCTCCCATCAGTGTAAATAAGCACATTCAACCAATGCCAACCCCTCACGCATATATATGTAACAACGATTCGAGGAACTCTTTTCTAGGCTAGCCGTACGATCAGGGCGGCAGGCATTGGTCAAACTAATTTCACACCTCTGGCCCCTGGCTACCCAGGATTTCAGTGCCAGGGGGCCCCTCGAGCACTTTCACTGGTACTCGTGAGATTTCACACACACGCCACCCTGACAATCTGCACGGGCTCACATGGATGGCCCAAATTGCACCTCTATTCCCCTTCGGCGCTTGGCGGCATGGCTTTGCAAACGACCAAGACAAATTTCTCCCTTCGAGATAGATAAAGATTGTCATTGTCATTGCCATTGTCATCGTACAGTTTAGAACCCGGCGGAACCAGACATTCGAGTTTTGTTTCAAATCAGAGCTGCAAGCGGCGAGCAGCGAGCGGGCAAAACATTTGCCGACTTAGACAGGTTGAAACCCTCGGAGGAAGCGGATTTTTTCCTTGGACAGATTTCCGTTTTATACAGGTAATTAAAGAAGAATTTATTAATGGTGGGGTGGGGGTGGAGCGGGCAGATTCTGTTAAGACAAGTTTATGTCTTACACAGGTATCCGTTTTGGCAAGTTCGAACTATCAATACTAATAATAGTAGTAATCATGACAATAATAGTAATAATAGTAATAATAATAATAATAATAATAATAATGATAATAATAATAACAATAATATTAATCCGCTTTTTTTTTTCATATTACTAAGAAATTGCTCCATGCACTTTGCTATAAGGCAAAGAACATGAGCACCTTACTGTTCTAATAACTATCATTTCTCTCTGTCTCACTCACTCACACACACTCTCTCTCTCTCTCTCTCTCTCTCTCTCTCTCTCTCTCTCTCTCTCTCTCTCTCTCTCTCCCTCCCCCCCTCTCTCTTTCTCTCTTTCCTACCCTTTCCCACTATTATGATGCTGTTATATTTGGTTAAGATGAGCTTCACAGTGACATTGAGGACGAGAACTATTTTATACTATAGACGTGCCCTCATCTTCTTAAACTTCTTCGCCTCATTCAGCAAGCTCTGGGGCTGAGGCAGAGTACAACGCAGAGAAAGACAGTCCTGGGTAACTTGTCACGCTGCCAGCTACTGATGACAGCATACTATTCAGAACCTGCCCTCCTCCATATTCACATGCATTTTATTTTAATTGATTAATGCAATTGTATTATAATATGAGATCTGTCCAAGAAGTACGTTCCCTGTTCTGTAAAATGAACAATTTTCTTTTTACAGATATGAACTTTTGTACATACCTTCAGGAACACATTTTCTAATTAATAATTTGGAATGAAATGAAAGTCATAAGGTGTTAAGTCTCGGGAATAGCGGGAAAGTTGAAAGATTTCCCACTGACAGGAGTCCAGGAGATCGGTGACCTTTCAAGCACTGTGCACAGGCGCGTTGTCATGATGGAAGACAACACCTTTCTCAAACTGACACGACCGCTTCGTTCTGATTGCTGGTCTCAGCATTGTTTGAAGAACCATTTATTTGTTATAGTCATCATCGATTATTGTGCCAATGGGAACCGGCCAGTTCAAAACTACAACTTTGGGATCGAAAAACATGATGTGCATCACTTTCAAATTGCCATGCTTGCGTCGAGCTTTTTAGGATCGTCGTGATCCTGGTTCTCCATTCTGCCGAGTCTTTTCCTTTCTGGATCACAAGAATGCACCCTATATTTTATTTCATCACCTGTTGTGATCTTTCTTAAAAAAAATATGTTCCTTAATTTCGTGACACTTTCATTTCTTCCCCAAAATAAAAGAAGGATGAAGAAGGCAGAGATTTGAAGACGAGGAGGAAATTGTTCTCGAAACAATAAATGCTGCTATAACTACTCTGGTGGAAGCGGACATGGTCACTGCGTCTGACCGCTTGCTATATCGGACGAAACAGTGCATTGAGATGACCGGTTGTTATGTTGAAAGATAAGTGTGTTGGTTTTTTTCATGTGGATGAAAAGTTTTCAAATCTTGTAAGTTGATTTATATTTTCCTGCCAGTTTTCAAGGCTCTATCTCCATAAGACCACTGATGATATGGAAATTTATTACTCAACTTCAGAGCCCCTTATCTCATTTTCACGTTTACATATCTTCGTCAAACAAATGTCGTCCGATTGACTTCGTTTTATCTTTAAACTGTAAGGAAATAGTGACAATTATGTTAACTCACTTTACGAAATTTCCCACTTATACCAGATTTTGATTGGCACTGACACAATTTATTACTGCGAGTAATGAAACATTAGAAAATAAAGGACGCATAGTCGAGCGAAAAATGACAGTGAACAATATGGCTGTGAATCATTATTTTTTTTACTCTCGGATAAAAGAAAAAGGAAAAACAGTGGGGAAAACACTTTTATTGAATCTCATGTTGGAAATTTAGCCACAGTGACATGTGCAACGTATGCACAAATCAAAATTAAGCTTGCACCAGCAGGGCATGGTGCACAAAGCCACAATACAGACAGTTTACAAACAGGTCGTTGTTGATATCTCAGTACACAGCCCTGGTTTGTTTTTGACAATGGCAAACGTATCTTGCTCAAGGACTCACACCGAGAGACCATCCACGAAAACGACACGTCATAAGCACAATTCTTTGTCAAATATTGAGCTATTTTAAAGATTTAAACCGTGTCATGAGGAAAAATGAGAGGGCTTTCATATGTCAGCATTGATTTAGAATGTAAGAAATAAAAGCAGTTTTTTAAATGACATTGTGCTCGACATCCCAAGACCAACCAAGCGCTACCCCTGGTGGATTTGGAGAAGGTTGAGGGCTTTTATTGCACTGTCTATCTAGGACAGATATTTCTTCTAATGCACTAGAAGGCCCACCGAGCTTGAATGAAATTTTTTTCAACGACTGTCATTACGGCATCCTGATGAGACGCAGAAGGTCAACTAGAAATCTTCGAAACAGGCACTGTTACTTGTAGACCTTGTGAGTTAAAATTTGTATTTTTAGTATGGATTCTACTTCTCCTCGCAAAGTTATCATTCAAATGGACAATTTAAGTGAACTCGTCTTCAGTTTCGATAGAAAAGAGTGCAAACTCAAACTTTCAACTCTGGCATCACGTTACTAAAGGTGAACATAATTCTAGTGTTGGAGTTCAATAGACCGGCGTCGGTGGTGTAGCAGTGAGGTACTTTGCTATCATTCGCAGGTAAACCGAGTTCAATGTCCCAATGAGGAGAAATTTATATCGAGTATCACGGTCTTTCTGCTGGGATGTTGTATCTCTCTGTCTCTCAGCTGGGGTTTACTGGCTCTAATAGGCAGGGCCAGAAGCCCACCTTTTAAATGATCAGAATTGTGTTGATGGAGGTGTAAAATCACTTCTATTTAAGAAAAAAGTCTAGTAGGGTTGAGAGAGATAGCACGAATGGGAAACGACAAAGAACAAACGCGAACACTAACAGCACAGTACGCATCTGGTGCCATGTAGTAATAGTAATAGGTACTCGTTAGACACCAGTAGCAGCAAGAGATACTACCTTTCTAATAGAGGAATAACGTACACGTTTTTCAGTGTGTGCGCGCACGTGCGTTCGTGTCTTTGAGTATCGTCCCTGTCTTCTTCCCTTCCTTTTTCTTCAACTTTATTGATACACCTTGACAGTATAGTCTTAGATCTAGATCTATGCGTGTCTAGCAGGGCCACGGATTAAAACTAACGGTACGTAAAACAACAACAACAACAACAGCAAAAACAACAGCAACAACAAACGATGAACTGGAATTGTTTGCGCAAATTCATCCCTTCGTTTTAATTAGCTGCGTTCTCCAGGTTATGGGGCAGGCACAAACCAGTCCTCTGGGAAATCCGGGCAGTTTTCGTGAGACTGTTCCTTGATGTAGTCGCGAGTTTCACATCCAGCGTGGCGCATTGATCCTTCATTGCCATACACCTTGCCGTCAGTTCCACATCGGTAGCTCAGTTCCATTGTCATAGGTCTGAAACAGCAATCACCGTTGCGGGCCTGAAAGACATTAACAGTTGAAAGGTTAAAAAAAAATTACATATTACTATGCAATCATCAGTCTCTACTACAGCCCCTTCATTCCACTTTCATCCACCCAACTCCCTGTCTGTCTGTCTGTCTGTCTGTCTGTTTGTCTGTCTGTCTGTCTGTCTGTCTGTCTGTCTGTCTGTCTGTCTGTCTGTATATTATCATGTG